GCGCCCTATAGCGAAAACCTCTCAAAAAAAAAAAAAATAGTTTCAATGGCAGACTGCCATGATCAGAAGCAGGCATATCGAGGATATGCCCTTACCTGTCAGAATTACATCAGCAGGGACCAGGTGGTGGCACTGCAGCAGTGCAGCTGGACCCACATGGAACATGGAAAAAGTACTGGGTTTGTGTCCTAGAACCTCCCTGAGCATGCCACGAGCCTGTGTGACCATGATGCAGGGCTGGGTGAGGCTGGGTGTGGATCACTGTATGAGTACCCCATTGGGGGTGCCCTGTCTCTGTTTCTTTCTCTCAAGGAAGATGTAAATAAACTAGAAAGAAAGAGAGAGGAAAAGAGGGAGGGAGGGAAGGAAGGGAAGAAAGTTCCCTTATTAAGAGAAAGAACTGCATGAGCATTGTGAAGCATCCCCCGCTCCATGCATCTTTGTCTCTGTTAAAGGAAAGGAGAGGAGAAAGGCCATGCTTAGGGCAGAAAGTGTGATACTCTTGGATGTCAAAAGGAAATAGATCTGCTGGGTTGTAACTGACTGTACTCCCTTTTGTCTGGAGAGCAAAGGCTGGACTGAGTTAGAGGTGAAGGCGACATCCCTAGAAGCTCTGTGAGCTGCCCTCTGAGGATTACTGGGTGTGGCAGCCCCAGTATACTGGGAAGAAAGTCTCCCTCGTGTTGGCCTCTTGAGCAGAAGGCAGAGCCCAAAGTTAGCAGAAGACTGGACAATGTGCAGATTTCTTTATTTTCAAAGAAAAGGGGAAAGAATATGGGTTCCACAAGCCGGGGTGTGGCCTGCTGATGTTGTAACCTCCCAGGACTGGGCAGTTGGGGAGGACAGAGGCAGGCTCTGGGAGCTGGAGGTCCACCTGAGGTCACCCGTGGTCTCCCCAGGTAGTCAGGCTGTGGTTACTGCCCTCCCAGAGATTATTAGGCAGTTATTAGGCTGAGGGTTCCCTGTGGCAGATGCATTAGAGCCCTCATGCGGGCATGGTAGGGAAACGCGGGCTGGGGGAGGCACCAGTAGGTGGGGACAGCTGGTTGAACACCTGCGCCTCCAGCCACACTTAGTGTCTGTCGAGTGGGGAGTTGTCGGTAATGATGGCCTGTTTGTTGTTGGCCCTTTTGTACCTGTGACTTGGACAAACACAAGGGCCATGCTAAGTCGGAGGTAAAGAAGCTGAGAGAGAGCGCTAAGATGACGTGTGCCGTGTGTGCCAGAATCTCAGGAGATCACAGTGGGCTGGAGCAGTGGGCAGGACTGGAGAGATGTAGCGTGAGCCCGAATAAGGTCTCCATTGTCTAGAAAACCCAAGTGCACCAGCCCAGGGAGGAGGAGGTGCTGGTCCTGCCGTGCTGAGGCCTTTGGTTCTGAAAGGAGCTCAGGAAAGTTAAGAGTAGGAAGCTGGCTCAGAACTATTTCAGGCAGAAAATAGCAGGGGAAGTGATACTGTTCTCTTGGGAGAAGGGAAGGCTAGAGGTGGTGATTAGGTGGAAGGGAGGACCCAAGGACTAGGACTGCAGCAGAGGTGATATTAAACCTGCCTTGTGGGACCCTCCAGGGTGAGCTTGTTGCCCGGAGGCAGATTTTGGCTCCTGTCAGGGAACTGTCTAAAAGGCCTCAGAGTGAGTGTCACTGGGGTGTGCTGTGTGCCGAGGCTGCCCTGCAGTCCCTCCAGGTCTGAGTAGGGTGCCTTGAACTGAATGGACCCTGTGTTAGGTAGGTATTTTAGTTTTGGAAGAACTGCCAGGACTCAGAGAGACAGGAGAGGGTGGCTCCAGTGAGCTCAGAGATCCCCATCTGAATTGGGCCTTTTGTAAAGTTCTTTAACAGGCGGTACATGCATACGGCAGAAATGCAGAAGGTACTCATAAATGCAGAGGGTATTCGTAAATGCAGAGAATACTCGTATACAGTCAGCCTCATTTCTAGCCTGCTTTCCCGTGGGTGTCTTTTTTTTTTTTTTTTTTTTTTGGTGTGGCTTTTTTTTTGCTAGGGTGTGTGCGCTTACCAGAAAGACAGAGACAGAGAGAAAGAAAGTGAGAAATCACTCCCCAGAGGGGATGGCCATGCCACAATTCCTTCTCCTCTGCCCTCCTCCCTTTTGCCAACTGCTGGTTCCCAGAACTCTTGTTTTTTATGCTTCTATTTGTTTTTTTTATTTTTGAACTGTCAGAGGGTGCATGTGCTCGCCAGAGACAGAGAAAGAGGGAGAAAGTACCCCTAAATGGAGTGTGGCCTTCTCCTCCATTTCTCCACACATGTGGCCAGCAGTTTTTTTAAGCCATAGGGGCTGGGATATGAACTGCATGGTGAGCCACGTGGGATCTGGCTCCCTTAATGTGGAGTGGCCCCATTTTCTTTTTTAAAGTTGTTATTAGATTAATATGCACACAGCAGTGCTGTGCCGTGATCAACAGTGGTGATCATTTTATGTCCCCATATATATAGAGCTGGCTAATTATGAAATAGCTATAGACTATCCACTGTAGGGCTCTGCTGTCATTTATTTAACCAACCTCACTGATGAATGTTCAGGGTCATTTTTTTGTGTGGTTGTCAAAGATGATGCTGCAGTAAAATCCATGCCTGTAGGTCATTTCACACAGGTATAAGTGGGAAATACACTTCCAGAGGTACAGTTGCCGGGTCAAAGAGTATATCATTTTTAATTTTGACATCTCTATTTTTTTTTTTTTTTTTTTGCCTGTACTAGAGGATGTGTGTACTTGCCAAGGGCAGCACCTCTGGAGACCTCAGCTACTCAAGAGAGAGGATAGGGGGGGCAAGAAAGCATCCCCCACCAATATGGTCACACTACAGTTCCTTCTCCATCTTCCCCCCCTTTTGGGATTTTGGACATGCCCTTACTCACAGGCCACTGGGCCCAGGACTTGAACTGCCCGGTTAGGCATGTGAGATCTAGCTGCCTTAACCACCAGACCGCAGAGCAACCTGACATCTCTGGTTTTTTTTGTTTTTTGTTTTTTCTTTTGAGAGGTGTTTGGCTATAGGACGTGTGCGCTCGCCAGAAAGACAGAGACAGAGAGACAGAAAGCGAGAAATCACCCCCCAGGGGCAATGGCCATACCCCAATCCCTTCTCCTCCATTCTCCGCTCAGGATCTTGGGCACAAACACACATGTGCCCAGCGTGAGTTTAAGCCACTGGGTCCGGGGCTCGAATTGCGGTAGACTACATGGGAGTCCAATGACATAGCCATTATGCTAACTGCTGGTCCCGACATCTCTGTATTTTTAGTTGGTGATTCTCGTAGCGTATTAGTGAAGGTGAACATCTTTAGCTCCTTTTCTGTAACATCATTCTCTAGTGATTATTGGTGTTTTCCTTATTGTAAAACATTTCCCTTAAGTTATCATTTCTCTTGGCTTTTTGTTATTTTCTTTATTTGTTTTTGAGCATGCAGAAATTCTATTTTATGCTTGGGGGGTTTGGGGCTACTTCTTAACATTTAAATCTTTTGTCTGAAATTTATTTGGAGTAAGGAGCAGGATGGCATTCAGCTATTGCCTGAGGTTGTGTTTCCCCATTCTTATCTGTGGATGGGACTTTTGACTTCACTTTTCTGAGAGGGAATGAGAGGTGGGGCAGTGAGTCTTCAGTGGCCCAAGGGCCTGCCTAGTGGTATCAGATTTTACCCTGCACTCCTACAGGGCAGCTCCTCCTATCAGAAGGTTCCTGGCCCTGGAATCATCATTAATACCCTCCAGCTACCTTCTCAACAGCAAGGTCTGAGGTTTGGCAGAATCTGGGTGGAAGGGTCAGGCCAAGGGAGGGCAGGACCAGAAAAGCTTTGTGCTGATGGCTCACCCAGCTATGGGCAGGTGAGTCACATCTTCTCTGAGGACAGCACTGCTGGAGACCTCAGCCAAAGCATTTACATTGTGTCCTTAGGGTAGATGGAAAGCTATGCAAGAAGGGCCTCATTTCTCTCCAAGGCAATGAAGACATCACCTGGCTTCCCATTGTTTTGCCTACAGTCACCTCTGGACCCACTGAGCAAAAGACTGAGAACCAGGCCCTGAGAATGAAGGGTGCCTCTTGGCCTCTGAGGTTGAAAAGCAGGTACAGACACAATGTGCTGTCCCCTTGACAGCAGAGAAGGGAGTGAAGTGTGGGTGAAAGGCCTTTTCACAGAAACCCACAGGATCATAGGGCAGGGCTGGTGTGGGCCTGGCTCAGAGGTTGGGCCGCATGCCAGCAGGTGCTCTTTCTGGCTGGAGGCCCTAGCAAGTAGAGGGTAAACTGGATTGCTACAGACAGGACCTGATGCAACTGCTCCTGCAGGGGCCCCATTTGTGGTTGTTGCTGTTCTCTTGAGAAGCCAGCTCCCGTAAGCCTGTAAGGATTCCCAGTCAGAGCCTGAATGTGTTTTCTTCTTCTCTTCCAGATCTAACCATGAGCTACCCAGGCTATCCCCCACCCGCTGGTGGCTACCCACCGGCTGCACCAGGTAAGAGGTCTAGAGTGGTGGGGGCATGAAGGACCCCTCTGCTCAGTAGCCAGGAGTAGAGAGGGGAGGAATCACAGTCCCCATCCTTCTCCACAGCACAGCCCAGCAGGGGAGGAGGAAAGCTAAGGTGGAAAGGCTAGTGAGGCCAGAGGCTGGGAAAGAGCATGGAGCTAGGGCCAGGGAGAGGTCTGGGTTTGAAACTGGTTCTGGAAGGCTCTGGAACAGGCCAGGACCAAACCTCTTGCCTTAGCTGTCAGTGGATAAATGCCTTCACTTCTCTTGAGACTCAGTTGTCTTCTTTGCAAAGTGGCATCAAGGATCTCTCACTGGGCTGTCCTGGATGCTAATGACTAGCTAGGGAAGGTCTCTGGCATGGCATCCTCCAAAGCATTTCTAGGTAATAGCGGCCCCCATTACTTCTCTTCCCCCGTGCTCAAGTACGTGGTTTTGCTGCACCAGGGTCCCTATACCCAGGGAGGCTGTGGAGGCTGTCTCCAGGAGACAGATGCTGAGGGTTAGCTGTCACTCCTGTGGCTGCCAAGAGGGGTGGGTGAGCACCAGCCAGGTAGTCAGCACCTGGCCTCAGCTGCGATGCTCTTCTTCACACTTAAAATTCTGTCGTCTGCCTGATATGCACTATATTTGTGCTGAGAGAAAAAAAATGTTTTGTACATTATAAAGATGTACGGTGATTAACTGTAAACAATAAATATTAAGAAATAAATAATTCTGTCATCTGCTCTGGACCTGGCCTCTCCTGGTTTTTTGAAATGTAATTTGGTCCCCATGGTAGGAAAGGAAGTAAGACGGCCCCTGGATGGGGGAGACAAGCATCCTTCTAAGAGTGGTCATCCTGAGGGTGCCTGCACAGCGCTGGCCCCCGCCCCAGGGTCCTCAGGCCGCATTCATTTTCTTGGAGTTGAAGTCAGAGGCTTAGCACCAATGGAGCCCAAGGCCACCTGGACACTCCTTTCCACCCAACATGTGAAGAACAGGCCCAGAGCTGGGAGGTCGCTCAGTCATGGTCACAGGGCAGAATCTCCACCCTAGATTTCCCAGCCCTGGCCTTGCTGCCCTTTCTATAGTAGAAATGCTGACAGCTAGAGAAGGAGCAGGCAGCTGACTCAGGGAAGGATGTTTCCTGAGAATCCTGGAGCTGAAGAGCCCACGTCGAGACTGCTGTGGACGGAATGTGTCTGAGAGTAGCCAGCGCTGAGCGTATGTCGGCCTGAGGGATGGTGCTCAGACAGGCCTTAACTCTGCACTAGTCCTGCTGGTTTCTGCAGGGCGTGTGTGGGGTGCCCCTACTCTCCCTCTGCCTCCAACTGTTTTTTTGTGACCCAGCCTGGTCTCCCACTCTCCCACATACTTTTCCCTTACTCTAACCCCCGTGCCCATGTAGCTCTCGTGAATTCTCAGGTTCCCCGAGCTCACCACTGTCAGGGTGAGCTGGAATACTCAGCCCAGTATTCCAGAATGACCTTGTGTCTGTCCTGCTCCATGATGGTGAGCTTGGGACGGCAGAGCTCTCCCTACCTCCTTAATTCCATGCACAGGGTGTTGAGAGTGTTTGCGGAACCCCACCTTTTTCTCTAGAAGGAGGGGCAGGTATCCCCTCTCTTCCCTCCAGCAGTGCGATGGGCTGGCATGTTCCTGTGGTCCTCAGAGCTCTCCTCAGGTTCTGCTTGGCCTCCCTTCCTGACCTCCTGTGAGCTCATGTCTCTGCCGCTCCCCACGTGGCAGGGGACAGATGGGGCTAAAGGGCTTGGTGTTGCTTTCAGGTGGTGGTGCCTGGGGAGGTGCCGGCTATCCCCCGCCCAGCATGCCCCCCATCGGGCTGGATAACGTGGCCAACTACTCAGGGCAGTTCAACCAGGACTATCTCTCTGGAATGGTGAGTCCAGTCCTCCTGCCAAGGATTCTCTGGGGGCCTCACCTCACCCGCATGGCCAGAGGAATCAAGGCTTCCTGTGGCTTCTGAGGTGTCTGTGCGTGTGTTCACCTGTGGGTGTGTAGTGAGTTGAGCTGTGCCTGAGAATGTGTGGGCTTTCTTCAGGGTTCTGCCACCTACCCACTGTCCCTCTGGGTGTTTTCTCATCTGCAAAGTGAGGGGGAAAAGGAATGTATTAGACTAGAGAGTCTCTCAGGTCCCTTGCAGCTCTGGGGCATTGGGTAGGAGGTGGTGCCTTCATAGGTCATTTCTTGAGCACCCACTTTTTGAGCTCAGCATAGGTCCAGGAGGGAGGTGGGGGTGTGTGCATGCATGTGCCAGCATGTGTGGGATACAAGAGTCCATGTGCTTGTTTGGATACATACACCCTGGACAGGCATATCTGGCAGACACCTTGAGGCATTACCATTTTTTTTTTCTTGGAGAGGTTTTTGCTATAGTGTACATGCGCTTGCCAGAAAGACAGAGAGAGACAGAGACACAGAAAGCGAGAAATCACCCCCCAGGGGGGATGGCCATACCGCAATCCCTTCTCCTCCATTCTCCTCTCGGGATCTTGGGCATGCATGCACACGCGCCTGGCATGAGTTTAAGCCACCAGGTCCGGGACTCGAACCATGGTTGACTACATGGAAGTCTAGCAACATAGCCATTATGCTAATTGCTGGTCCCGAGGCAGTACCATTTTTATTTGTCATTCCGCTTAAAAAAAAAAAAAACAAATTTATCAACTGGAAAAGAAATATGCGCTTAGTGGAAGCGATGCAGCCAGAACCCACTCTCTTTTGTGCAGTCAACTGGCATTATTGATAGTGTGGATGCCGTGGGAACAAGGAGAGCAGGGTAGAAGGGTTAGGAGTGTGGGTGGGGGTGACGTGGGATGACAGTTTTAAGTGGGAGAGCTCAGGTGGCCTTGGTGAAATGGGGGCATTCGAGCAGAGCTCAGAAGCAGGGGAGGGGTGTGCCAGATGATGTCTGGGGAACACTGGCAGCCTGAGGTGCCAGGGGGCCTGTTATGCTTAGGCACAGCAGGAGGCCAATGTGGCTGACATGGAGAGGTCAGCGCTGGTGAAGCAGGAGACAACGTTCAGGGGTCTAGGTCTTGTGGGTGTAGGAAGCCATCATGCGGATTTAGGCTTTTATTCTGGGTGAGTGCAAACCCATCCAGACCACACCCCTAGAGGTGTCTCTGGTGAACAGGTTGCTGGTACAGGCAGAAGGGCCCACAGGCCTTTTTGTGCCGTCAGCCTCACCTTCGCCCAGTTGGTTTGGCTGGAAGGAGCAGCCATCTGGATAGGGTAGGCGCTTCGCCTACACAAGGGGTTTGGGTCCGGAGAGGCCCAAGTCAGGACACCTGCTGCACTGTTTATTAGAGTCTGCATAGCCTCGAGCACGTTTTCATCTTTCTGAACCCATTTCATCTTCTGCAAAATGGGAGTGACGGTGATGCTTTGTATTGCACAGGTGCAAAGGCTGTGAGGGTCTCGTTGGCTGAAGTGGGAGGAGAGCTGAGCTCGGGCAGGGTCTCAGCAGGCACCAGTGCTGTGTGATGCTGCTGGTGGGCGAGCTGGAAGTGAGGCTCCTGGGAGCTCAGCAGGGCTCACCCAGGGAAGGGCAAGCACACAGCGTGGCTGTGCCTGGCTGGGTCCATTAGTCTTTGCCTCTGTCCTGTCTCTTTTCAGGCGGCCAACATGTCTGGGACCTTTGGTGGAGCCAACATGCCAAACCTGTACCCGGGGGCCCCCGGAGGTGGTTATCCTCCAGTCCCCCCTGGGGGCTTCGGGCAGCCCCCACCCGCCCAGCAGCCTGTTCCTCCATATGGAATGTATCCACCCCCTGGGGGAAACCCCCCCTCTGGGATGCCTTCATATGCACCATACCCAGGTGCCCCTATGCCAGGACAGCCCATGCCACCCCCCGGCCAGCAACCCCCAGGGGCCTACCCTGGGCAGCCGCCAGCAGCCTACCCTGGGCAGTCGCCAATGCCTCCCCCTGGGCAGCAGCAGCCAGTGCCAAGCTACCCAGGATACCCAGGATCCGGGACAGTCACCCCTGCTGTGCCCCCAGCCCAGGTAAGTGCCAGCCTAGTGCCACCCTTGTTCCCGGCCTAGATCCCAGAGGCCAAAGGCATGTGGCCTGATGTCTCTGCCAGTAAAGCCAGGAGGCAGAGTTAGGAGGATGGCTCATATAAGTTACTGTGTAACAGAGTTCTCACAGACTCCCTACCCCCATTTGTATTCCTTAAGGCTTAAGGCCACCGACCTGTCTCCTCTGGTTCAGTTGCTGTCCCTGTGCAGGAGGTTCAAAAGGCCCCATGAGTGCTCTTCATTCCTTATTGTTATGCACAGCCCAGGCTGTCTTCCTAAGACTGCCTGGCCACCATCAGAACTTTTTGCCCAATAGCTGTTAGTCTTCAGTCCACTTGATGCCCTCCCAGACGGGCTTTAGAGAAGTTGTAAAGTGCCCTTTGGGTAGGGAAAATGGCTGGCAGGTCCCTCAGGGCTGACGCTGTCTCATGTTTGGAGAACAGTTCATGTTTGCAGAGCCCAGAATTCACTGTCATGGTTACACAGCCCAATCAGTTTGGCGCAGGCTGTGGTATGTACTCAACCACTATTTTTAGACCGAGGGTCTCCCATCCTCCTGACTCCCACACCCACACATCTGCCCACCCCATGCTGCTCTCCCCCCTCCCTCCCTCGTCTTTTTCTGAGTTTCTCTCTGTGACTGTGTTATAACCAGTTTGTGCTAGCCACCCGGAAGACAATCCACTGGGAGACAGTTTCGCCTGGAAAGTTCAGGTTTGCCGTGTCCACAGCTATTGGGTCATACAGCGGTCATAGTGTAGAGGACAGTGCCAGGAAACCGGTGCTAGTCTAAGAAGTGGCCAGGCTGCCCTGTGCCCTTGTGAAGGACGGACACGTGTACCCACCTAGAGGGGACACATGGGCCAGCAGGGCTGTTAGGAGTACCCTGATGTGTGATGTCCTGCGGGATCAAGGAGAAGCCAGCAGCCCCTGCTCCCAAGGCCTGCCCTTCAGGAGGAACCCAGGCCCCAGCCTAGAGGACCTGGGCATAGAGCACATTTTCAGTGTTAGGACTCAGCTTTAAGTGAGCCGCAGAATCTTCTGTACCCCAACACAAGGACAGATAGCAGTCAGGTTACAGACATGATGTAGTGTCCTCCGTGTCATTGATCGCAACTCCTTCAGGTACCCCAACTTTTAGAGAAAGGGTTGTTCCCAGAGTCCGGGGGTGGAGGGCAGTAGCCTCACACTGAGGAGGCTGATATGCAGATCATCTTACCCGTGACTGTTTGTTTGAATAGTTTGGAAACCGAGGCACCATCACAGATGCTTCTGGCTTTGACCCTTTGCGAGATGCTGAGGTCCTGCGGAAGGCTATGAAAGGCTTTGGTGAGAGACCCCCGGTCACTCAAATCCTACCCCACACCCCACCTCTAATCCCCAGGCAGTTTCACAGGGGCTCTGGGGGGTGGGGCAGCTAAGAGAAGGCATGCCTGTCCCTGGTGGGTATACCCAGGAAACCTGGAGGCCCCAGGCCCAGGAAGTCCGTATGACACAGTGTCTCCCTATGACCTGCAGCCTCACCTCTCCCTCTCCTGCCCTCCAGGGACGGACGAACAGGCCATTATTGACTGCCTGGGGAGTCGCTCCAACAAGCAGCGACAGCAGATCCTCCTGTCCTTCAAGACAGCTTATGGCAAGGTGAGTTTTGGGGAGCTGTGACTTGGAAGGATGGCAAGCCTGGTTCCTCGCAAGCCAGGGCATATCTCAGCTCTAGCACAGGGACTAGTTCCAGCTCAGCCCTGGTCACTCTGCTTTTCCTTGGGACTGAGTAGGCCTGGATCTCCTGGATGGACAGTAAAGTGTACTAGGGTCTTTTCTGCTGTCCACCCAGCCAGTGTCCTCCCAGCTAGTGGAGGATGCCCTGAGGGAGAAATCCCAGAGTCCATAGGGTGCTGAGGACATGTGGGTTCTAGCAGCACTCCGCCCTGACTCACTGACAGTGCCCCTCCTACCCCCAGCCCTCAGCCTCCCCTCTGCTGCTCTCTTCACAGCCACCCTAGAGGGTTCAGCTGATGTAAGAGCTTTGAAGAAAAAGGCTTTGCCTACAGAACAAATGCAAGGGGTGGGGACTCTTATCTTTTGGGGTTTTGAATGTGAGAGAGGTGAAAGTTGAGTAAATATTGAATAGGTTAGCATTCTGGCCCAGTGCTTCTCATACTCCAATGTGCCATGGACCATGGGCACCTTGCTGAAACACAGGCTTCTATTCAGCGGGTTCGGATGGGGCCCGGGATCAGGCTTCTCTCTCAGGTCCCCTGGGATTGCTGCTGCTCCTTGACCCTGGGATATTGTTCTCATTAGTCACCTGCTATGATTCTCAAAATAGGTTTCATTTTGTTTGTTCTCTGTATATCCAATCAGGATTTGATCAAAGATCTGAAATCCGAACTGTCAGGAAACTTTGAGAAGACAATCCTGGCTCTGATGAAAACCCCAGTCCTTTTTGATGTTTATGAGATAAAGGAAGCCATCAAGGTGTGTACGTGTGTGTGTGTTCACATGTGTGGGGAGGAAGGCCTGGACAGCATGGTGTGTTTTAGCCTACTCATTAGTGAGGCTTTAGACCTTACAGGCTGTACAAAGGGCAGATTTTGGTGATTTTCCCCAAGAGGCACATGACATGCCATTTGTCATCAGGAAGTATATCAGTCCCTGTCCATCTTAAAAAAAATGGTGAGGTTGTGGAGGAAGCTGGTGATACGATGATAAAAAGAAGCATAGGAGGTAGGACTCCATTAATACTAATAATATTTAGTAACATGTCTATTGTTAATAATCTATTATTAATATTAGAAACAAGCTTGAAGAGTTAAGCAAAACAAAGGTGGGGAATCAGTGATGAATCAGGACCGTGATATGGAGGGCAGGGACTAGGGCAGGATTTCTCTCTTATCTCTGCTTCTGAGTGTCAGCTTCATTCTTCCATCTGCTTCTGTGTTCTCCTTCCACGTCTGCGTCCAGAGGATGCCTGCCCACCCTTCTCTGTTTACCTATCAGACATCCAGCTACAGAAGAGACCAGCGGTCCCTCGTCCAGATTCCTAGCAGGGCGCAGATTCCAGACTGGCTCAGCTTGGGCCCACTACCTTCTTCCAGTCCAGTTCTGGCCCAAGAGTGGGCCCTGTCACCGTACAATCCTGTGGCTCAGTGTTTGTTACTGTGGATGGGAAGAAGGCTGCTCCCAGATGGGGGAATCCTTATGAATCAAGCAGGGACCCCAGAAGGAATCTACTCTCAGAGACCCACTAGGTACAATGGCTTTTGCCTCCTCCAAAAGGAGACGCAGGACTCGGTGTAGTATCCCAGAAGGGACAGAAGACTCCACTGAAACACATCTACTTGCCTTATTCTAGGGAGGGGGTCAGGAGGCAATAGGGAGGGCCATGGTCCATGCCCCCAGTCATCTGCGCAGATCCCACCTCCAGGCAGCTTCGTGAGGTGGTGGTTGTGGAGCATGGAAACTACAGTTTGGGCCAGCTGTTGCTACCCAGCTGTATGTCTTTGAGTGTCTGTGTCTGTCTGACAGACACTAAGTGCTGTCCTTAATCCTCATGACTTCCCTATGAGGTAGGGACTAGTATAGAGACTAGCATTCTGTTTCGTAGAACACGAACTGGAGGCACAGAGAGTTAACACACCCAAGGTCATGTGGCTAGTAAGCTGCAGAGCCAAAATTGAAACCGATGTAAAAGCCAGGCAGCTGACCCCGTCCTCTGTCTTCTTACCATCCCTGCATGGTCATCCCTTTCATCCTCTGCTGCCTTCTCCTGGTGTCTCCAGAAACTCCCCAGTCCACACTGGGACTGTGAGTTCACATATGTTCATTCTGAGCTCTCTTGCTTGTAACTCATTTCTCAGTTGTTGATCATCTCGCTCATGGGCTGAACTCAGAATAAAACAGACTTTGGTCCACATACGAACCTGACCACTTAGTTTGTGGCCTCAGAAAGTCACTGCATTTCCCTGATTCTTAGTTTTCTGATCCATGGGCCTGGCTCTCCCTGTGATCCCTGCTCATCACCAGCATCATTGTTGTATCTGATGCTTTTCTTGCCCTGGGGCTGTGAAGGGGGCCTGGCTCACTTTGGCCCAGGAACAGCACAAAGGGAGTGTCTGTCAGGGGACTCTGTGCCAGGGTTTGTGCCAGGGCAGCGGTGTGACACCTGCTGTTGTTCCTGGGTGCTGTTGAGGGCACTGTAACAAGCATGTGGTTTGTTGCATTCTCTGCCACTGCAGGGTGCTGGCACTGATGAAGCCTGCCTGATTGAGATCCTTGCTTCGCGTAGCAACGAACACATCCGGGAACTGAACAGAGCCTACAAAACAGGTTAGGCTGGCTCCCAGTGCCCTCTGCCCTTTGCAGAACCCTGTGCTTTCCGGGCCTGGGCCACACCCTCTTCCAGGACCTCCGATTCCTTCCTGGCCTTTCTGTCACCCATCTCCTGCCACCCTTAACACATTGGGCTTTCATCCAGGGCCCAGCCCTGCCTGCTGTGTACACACAGGGCAGATGAACAAGGTAAGGGAGGGCTGAAGAAAACCCCTCAGGTATGGTTTAGGCCAAGCCTGGTCAGAAGGCAGGATCAGCTTGAAGGTCACAGGCTGTGTGTCCCTGGAGGGTCACCTGTCTGCAATGGGCAGCTCTGTCCATAGTGCTCTAGGGCAGGCGTTGCATCTTTCCTTCAGAATTCAAAAAGACCCTGGAGGAGGCCATTCGAAGCGACACGTCAGGACACTTCCAGCGGCTCCTCATCTCTCTCTCTCAGGTACCTTTCCCATGACAGGGCTCCAAATTCCTGAGCCACAGAAATCAGATAGGTGGGGCCCAAGCAATGAGGACAGGAAAAGGATCAGGGAGGAAGGGAGTATGCCCGTCCAAGGAGTGGGCTTGATCAAACGACCTGCTTCCTTCTAGGGAAACCGGGATGAAAGCACAAATGTGGACATGTCCTTGGTCCAGAGAGATGTCCAGGTGAGTGTGATGACCAGGCCTGGCCCCCTGCCTGGGCTTCCTAAGCTGGGGCATTCTCCACTTTCTTGCTCTATGAGGGAGGTGATCTGGGATGGGAATAGCAGTGACTAAGAATGGGTTCTGGATGCTGTGAATTTCAGATATGCTCTGCCTCTGACCAACTCCTTGAGCCCAAGCGGGTCACCCAGCCTTCTGGGCTTCCCTGCATACAGGAGGGAACATGTGGGGCCAGGTGGTGCAGTTGAATCCACATGGGAAGGGTCCTGGGTTTGTGTCCCAGGACCTCCCTGAGCATCCAGGGCCCTGTGGGTACATGCCCAGGCTGCCTAATCTAGGGGTGGGTCACAGCACAAGGACCCTTTTGGCAGTAACTGTCTCTCTCCCTCCCCGTCTTTCACTGTTGCAGAAAAAATAATTAAATACACTTAAAAAAAAAAAAAAAGAAAAAGATTTTTTTGAGGGGTGAGGCAGGTGGTGCTGTAGCAGGAATACAACAGACTCACATGGGAAAGAACCTAGGTTCACGTCCTGGGACATCCTAGAGCATGCTAGGAGCACACATGCATACCCACGGCCAAGGCCAGGTCGTGAGATTAGGGCTGGATCAAGGTGTGAAGACCCTGTTGGATGTGTCTGTCTCTGTCATTTTCTCTCTCTCTCTCATAGAAGAAATAAACAAACTTTAAAAATAAAAGAGAGGAATCAGGTGAGATAACTGTTTCAACAACAGATAGATCACAGTTGTAGAGGTAGGATTTGTGTGACTTGGTGCTTCCCCTTGTTTCATTCTGTATACCGTTATGTTTGCCAAGGGGCAAAATTTGCACTTGGATATTAAATTTCTAAGGGTTTGATCTTAGAAACCTGCTGTCCCATTAGTTGTATCCTCTTTGTGAGTTGCAGACAAAAGGGGGGAAATCCAGGCCTCTGAGCTCCTCTCTAGGGAAGTTTGGGTTTCCTGCTAATGGAAGCAGACCATCGAGTTCTGGCTGGAAAGTGCCACAGCTTCCTGGGGAGCTGGAGCTGGCAGTACCTTCCTCTATCCCCCTCGTTACTCCTGCTCCTACGGCAGGGCGCTCACCAGAACTTGTAGTCTTGTTTCTCTGCCGTCTGTCAGGTTGGAACAGGGCATCATGGAATGCTCCCTTGTTAGGGCTGGAGGAGAGCTACTCTTTTGTTCTGGTTCTTTTGCTTGCCTCATGGGGAAACTGAGGCTCCGAAAGACGGAAGGCACACTGTGCCCAGAGAAACCTGGAGGTAGAGCTGGACCAGAGTCCAGACTCCTGTCTCCATTTTCTGCTCTTTTGGCGCCTGCTTCTGCCTGGGTCCCAGGGCTGCTGCTCCTGCAGGGCTGTCTCATTCGGCTTCTGCCTGGCTGGGACATCCATTCTCATTTCTTATCACAGGGCTGGACAGCCTTGAGGCTCCTGGGCTCTGACAGAACTGGGAATGCTCCCTTAGGAATTTTACTGGCTCTTCCTACCTGAGGCAGGAGTTACTTCAGGTTCAAGGTCTCCTGCTGTGCCTTCTCAGATCCCAGTCTACTTCAGCCTCACTTTGACCTAGGGGATCTCTGAGCCCCTCATGGCTGCCTTCTGCCCTCCTGTATCAGAGCCCTTAGACCCAAGAGGCCTACCTCCCTTTAGAAGCCATCTAATTCAGCGGTTGTAAATTGCCAAGTATTTTGTACCCAAACCTTCAAAAGTTTAATAGGCAAGTGTAAATTCTGCCCATTTGGGACCAGCAGGTGGTATGTTAGTTAAGGGGACTGCATCCCACATGGCTGACTGTGTAGTTCAAATGCCATACCCAGCAGCTTTGCATGCCCAAAATCCTGAGAGGAGAGGAGGAGGAGAGATTACAGAGTGGTCATTCCCCCCAGGAGTGCTTTCTTACCTTTTCTCTCTCACCTCCTCTGTCTCTCTCCTGTGAGCACATGTGCCCTATAACAAACAAAAAAACAAACAAGCAAGGGACCAGCAGTTAGCATAATGGCTATGTCGCTGGACTCCCACGTAGTTGACCGTGGTTCGAGTCCCGGACCTGGTGGCTTAAACTCACGCTGGGCGCGTGTGCATGTGTGCCCAAGATCCTGAGAGGAGAATGGAGGAGAAAGGATTGCTGCGTGGCCATCCCCACTGGGGGTGATTTCTCGCTTTCTGTCTTTCTGGCGAGCGCACACGCCCTGTAGTGAAAACCTCTCCGGAAAAAAAAAAAGGCAAAATTTTGCCCCTTTGCAAGCATAATGGGATATGCAGCAAAATACAGGGAAAGTACCAAATTAAGTAAAATCCCATGTTCACAACTGTGATCTGTCAGCTCTCGTTTCCTGCCCTCTGGCCTGTAGGGCTGGCCACTCCCAGCTCTCCTAAGTGACCTGGACCTGGGGCCTGGGTTGAGCCCCATGTTCCATGTGTGTCTTCCTCTCTGTTCAGGAGCTGTATGCAGCTGGAGAGAACCGCCTGGGAACAGACGAGTCCAAGTTCAATGCTGTTCTGTGCTCCAGGAGCCGGGCCCACCTGGTGGCAGGTAAGGCCGTCCTGAAGCAGTTAGATGAGGTAGGCAGGACACTGTGGGAAACAGAGCTTGTCAGAACACGGCAGATCCATTCTGCACAGGATTTGTTTCCTGAAAAGAGCCCCCTGGTGGTGACTTAAAAGATACTATCAGAGTTTTCTGCATTCCTTCAAGTAACTGGTTCTGGAGGAAGCAGAGAGAGGTGAGGAAATGGAGCCCCCTGTTGGCTAGGATCTTTATAGACTGGAATGTGGAATAGAGAGTAGGGAGAGCCATTTAGGAGCACATCCACCCAGGGCTTTCCAGAGCTTGGCATGAGAAACAGTTGCCATGGTGCTGGGTCACATTGGCAGGGTGTGGTGGTGCACACCTGTAATCCCAGGTAGGAGGCTGAGGCAGGAGGATGGAGACACAGGGAGATCTTGCTTTAAAAGAAATCATTTTTAAAAACCCACTAGTTAAACATTCACTTACTCATTCAACAAGTAATGGCTGAGTCCATGCCAGAGGCCATCTGTCCAGTGGTGGAGGAGGTATGGGAAAGTGGTGGGGAGCAGAGTATTGTGGCCTCTGCCCTCCCCAGTCTCTGTTTTCTTGGAGTTTACCTTCTTGTTCAGGGGCACAGACAGTGAACAAAAAAAAAATTTGTATCAGATAGTAAATCCTGTAGAGAAAAATTATAAAGCTGAAAAAGATAATAATGGAAAAAGGCCAGGGGACGTGCTTGGGCAGTTTGCACTGAGGTAGTACAGTAATGTTGGCCTAGTAGTTAAGGGAGCCAGATCCCATGTGGTTGACCATAGTTCAAATCCCAGCCTCCATGGCTTGAGAAACACTCCAGGAACATGTACATGGGAGCCCCAAATCCTGACAGGATGGAGATATAGAAGAGGAGGGATTGTGGTGTGACCAAGCACCAATGGAGGATGTTTTCTTCCTCTGCCTCTCTCTGTTTCTGTGTCAGGCAAATGTACACACACTCTGACCAAAAAAAAAAAATGTTTAAGATTGAAGGAGATGCAGGTGCAAAGGCCCTTTAGAGGGGGCTCCCAGTATGACTGAGAAACAGTGAAGGGAGTCTTCATGGCTGGGAAGATGGAGAAAGCAAGAGTAGTAAAAGGTGAGCTAAGAGGTGGTAGAGGGCCTGCAGAGTGGCAGTTGCCTGGAGTCAGATATTTATCCTGAGTAAACCTGAAGCCATCAGGGGCTCTGAGCGGAGGAGATACTGCCAGTTCACTGGCTCTTGTGTTGAAAACCCAGTGAAGGAGTTCATAGTGGAGCAGGGAAGCAGTTTAGAGGCTGTTGCAGTGATCCAGGGGAGAAACGGTGGTAGCTTAGACCGAGGTGTTCAGGGCAGGTAATTGAAGGGATTGGGTTCCTGTTTTGACGAATTGGACATGAAATATGGGAGAGTGAGAGGAGTTAATGATGACCCAGGATTTCCTTGGCTGAGCAAGATTGGAGTGGTCCTTGCCTGAGTCTGGGGAGACTTTGGAAGGGGTGGGAAGGAAACCAAGAGCCTTGGGGATGGACATCCGGTAGGCAGCTGGGTTTAAGAGTTGAGGTCAGAAGAGGTCTGGACTGGAGATGGAAATTTGGGAGCTGTGAGCACTTTTAAAGATGTTTGGGACTTTCGGCCGGAGGGGGAGGTACTGGAAAGAGACTAGGGTTTGTGCACAGGGCTCTGGGCCATCAGAGGAACCAATGAGGTGGGAGAACCCAGAGAAAGGGGTGTCCTGAGGCCGCTGTGTAAGATTGGCTACTGCAAAAAGCAGGTGTAGACTGAGAACAATGAGTACACTTAGCCACATGGAGAGACTCTGGCTGGTGCTGTTTGGGTGGGTGGTGAGGGTGAAAACCCAAGCAACTACCCTGCCAGGCCCTGACTAAGTGCTGAATGCACACAAGGTCTTGTGATATGCACAGATAGGTGCTGTGGATCTCCCCATTTTCTAGAAGAGGAAGCAGCCACAGGGTGGTTAGGGAAGGTGGCTATCACAGTGGTGGCTGAGCTTGGCTCTGAGCCCAGGCCATCTGGCCCCAGAGCACACTCTTTAATCACCTTACTCTACTGTACTGGAGCATGGCTGAACATAGTTTCATCTTCATCATTGGTTTTTTATTTAAATTTTTGTTTCTTTAGAGAGATTTTTGCTGTAGGGCGTGTGTGCTCACTGGAGACACAGAGAGAAAAAGAGACAGAAAATGAGAAATCATCCCCCTGGGGGGGATGGCCATGCCATAATCCCTCCTCCATTCTCCTCTTGGGATTTTGGGCACACACACATTAGTTTGTGCCCAGCATGAGTTTTAAGCTACAGGATCCGGGACTCGAACTGTGGTTGACTATGTTGGAGTCCAGTGATGTAACCATTACACCATCTGCTGATCCTCATCTTCATCATTATTTATTTTAATAAGTACAGAATTTCTGAATAACACATCAAATACAGGGTTTCACAAACATTATTAGAAAAAAGTAGCAGATTTGAAGAAAATATTGAGATGGATACAGATATAACAGAAATCATGACTTTGATCTGCAAATGAAGATGCTTAGTGAACGCTCCTAGAAACAGACTCAGGCTTTGGAAGAGGAGCCCTCTATTCTGGTTGGAGCTAGAGCTTTGACCCAGGTCTCCTTCGAGCCACTTACCTGCCTAAGGGCCAGCAGTCCACTTCTGTGGGTGCTCAGCTTGTCCTAGGTTAAGCTTGAGGCAGGGCACAGCAAAAAGCAAAGCAGGCTGTGGCCGACTGGGCCTGAGCTCTCTGATGGAGAAAGACAAGATCGTCACTCAGAGAGAGAGAAGAAACGGCAGCGAACACTGGGAGTGCAGGGGATTTGAGAGGAGAGGGAGTGCTGATTGGGGTGAGTGGGAACTTGGAGGCCGAGTTATGATGTGATTTGAGTAAGCAGGTTGGGGGGGATAGTTGTGGAAGCACGTGAGTGAGGTACAGCGGCAGCGCATGTGACTTGTAATGAAGGGTCTTGCTGGCTGCTTTGTGAGCTGGGCAGGTGGGCTAGGCTGTCAGACAGCTGGGCTGTCCAGGGTGCTGGGAGCAGTGGGGCCGGGGCTCCAGGAGGGACCATGGTCTCTTCACATGTGTCCTGTCCAGTTTGCTTGGGCTTCCATGACAAAATGCCACAGGCTGGATAGCTTACAGATCAAGTTTGCTTCCTCACGGTTCTGGATGCTGAAAGTCCAGGGTCAGGTTGCCGGCAGAGTTGGTTTCTTCTGAGGCCACTCTCTGTGGATGCAGGCTCCTCCTCTGACTGTCCTCACGTGGTCTTTCCTCTGGACTTGCACATCCTGATACCACTGGGGACTAATCTCCTCTTCTTAGTGCACCAATTCGATTGGATTAAAGCCCACCCTCTCACCTTGTTCTATTCTGATTACCTCCATAAAAACCTCTTCTCCAAATATGTGCAGTTCTGAGATATGTGGTTTCTGGACTTCAGCACATGAATTTGGGAGGACACAATTCCATCCATAACATCCCTCTACCTTCTCTAGTTTTCAACGAATATCAGAGAATGACGGGGCGAGACATTGAGAAGAGCATCTGCCGGGAGATGTCAGGGGACCTGGAGCAGGGCATGCTAGCCGTGGGTAAGTGTCCTGGGCTTGCCCAGCTGCCTGCCCACCAGGAGCTAGTGTGTACTGGAAGTTTGCAGGGTGCTCAGCTAGCCCCTGGTTGAAGGGTGGTGTTGTGAAAGAACCACAGGGTCCAGGATTGCTAAATGCGGAATGTCAGTGGTGGGAAACCGTGCTGTTTCCCAGGTCCTGCGTAGCTGAACCCCCGCTGTCCCGGAGGTGTCTTGTTTATATTTCCAGCATGGCTCTGGATAAGAGTGCTGCAGTGTGGGTATTAGTGGGACAGCATCCAGCTGCTCTCCCGGAGGAAGATGACTCACATCCTGCCAAGTTTCCTCTAAAAATACATCCCTGTAGGCAGTTGTCAGATGTTTGTGATGGAAACACGTGGAAAGATTTTTTTACTTGCAACAGCAAAACAGGCCCATGCCAGACAGAGCTGGCTTACCTCCTGGAATGATGGTGTGCTTCTTGCATTGCCTGTGCCCTCTAAGGCAGGGTCCCAGGGACTCCAGACGACGCCCTGTGCACTACCCCCTGTGTGGAATTGGATCCTCAAGTCTCTCTTTATACTCACTTGGCAAAGTCAGTTTCACTTCATTACTGTGCTTTTCCTGGAACTTTCAGGAGGGGACAGACCGTAAACTCTCCTCGCATGTACCCCATGGTAGGTCTCATGGCCTGAGAACCCCAGGAACAGGCTTATTGCTCATGAGGGACCCAGCATCTCCAGCTTGCCCATCCCACCTGGGCAGCACCGCGACGCCTCCTCATCACGCATGCATCTCCCCTCCCACAACTTGCAGTGTCATCACGTTCCCAGCCCTCTGGGTCTCATTTCTTCCACCACAGCAGTTGGCAGCCAAGAAGGTGGTCAGTTTGGTGTCCAGGCTCTGTGTGCTCTGTGTGGAGCTAAGATCACGGGCCTGCTGAGCCCAGAAGAGGAGAATGGGGAATGCAGACAGATGCAGTGCTGGGTTTGACAACTGGTCTCCTAAGAGGACACCCACATACTCCACGCCCCTCGGCTGAGAGTCTTCTTTTGATTCAGTTACACCGTGTTTCTTTCTTTAGTGAAATGTCTGAAGAATACCCCTGCCTTCTTTGCTGAAAGACTCAATAAGGCCATGAGGGTACGTAAGTCCTGTGTGCAGGGGGCCCAGATCGGGGATGTCACAGCCCCCTTGTGACTCGGGCTAAGAACTGGGGGTGGGAGGCATGGGGATGGTCACATTTTACCCAAGAGATCTGAGGACCAGAAGGTGGGGAGGGGTCAGAGAGCCCAGGGAGGAAGGGCAGGTGAGGAAGCCCATTGCTCATGCTCTTGGCGACTCTTGTTTTAGGGAGCAGGAACGAAGGACCGGACCCTGATTCGCATCATGGTGTCTCGCAGTGAGGTCGACCTCCTGGACATTAGGTCAGAGTACAAGCGGATGTACGGCAAGTCGCTGTACCACGACATCACGGTACGGGCCTTCTCCGGGCTGATGGGCTTCCTCTGGTGTCCCCTCACCTGCTGGCCTCCTTGGCACTCCCATGCTCCCCTTACCTCTCCCCCGTGGAACAACCCACATACCTGGCTTCTGTGTAGTGGATGGGCGTTTCATTTAGGGACTTCAGACTTGTTCTCCTCAGCTTCTGTTTCTTCATCTAGTGGTCCCCAAACAGATGATAAGCTCCTCAGGGCGGGGTATGTCTTGACTCTGCTGTCATCCCCAAGTGTCCAGGACACCCACTACTCAGTAACTGGTGGGGGTGTCCACCCAGCAGCATCAGAGGATCACAGGACCTCCCTACCGAGTCCTGGCCACCGTGTGGTTCTGGGATCTGTCATGAGAACCCACATCCCAAAGGCTCTGCAGGCCCAGCTCTGGCTCACTGATCATCACTGTCACTCAGCTTTACTGTGGAGGCCACACAGTGAGGCAATTCAGAGCGAGACCCGCAGAGTCACAGCACTGAGTCCAGCCCAGTCTTTCTCCTTGCTATCTGTGTGGTATCAGCCGCTTCCTTAAGCCTTCCCCAACCCTACCCTTTAAAATGAGAAAACAGTAGCTCCTCCCTAGAAGCTGGGTGAGGGCTGAAGGTGAAACACTGACCACTGTCGTATCACTGTATACCAGAGCCAGTCACCTGAACATGTTCTTGCCCGGGTGATGGATGGTCAAATCCTGAACTCACGTGGACCTTGAAATTGAAGTCATCAGGACCAGGTCCTGATTTTAGTCTTGGTAGCCTCTGACGTTACTGGGCTGCCATTGAGACTAGCCAACCTCTGTTTCCCTGGTGATGAGAATGATGCTGGCAGCAGAGAGTTAGTCATTATTACCAAGTGCTTCCTACCTGCCAGCAGGCTCTGGATGGCTTGCCCTCAAAGGTGCTTAGGGTGGAAGGAAACGGTTAGAAATTAGCCAAGCCTGCCAGCACTCCTGGAGTGAGTGCAGTGGTCCCAGACGGAGGAGAGACCTGTGGACCTGAGGAGCCTGGACCTCCACCGATGGTCCTGTATTAGGAGATGACACTTCCTGAACTGCACACAGTGTCACATTATGGTACAAAGTGTAGCACATCATGAATGCACTAGGAAAAGAACAATACTGGTTAGCCCTGGGTAGTGGTTTTCAGACTGACTTTAAATTGTTTTATGGTTAGTTACTTAGCTTTGATAATTAGAGTAAGTGCAGCTTGTTAAGGATTATTTTATTTCTCCCATGAGAGAGAGCGAGCATGTGAGACAGTCCCTCACAACAGTCTTCTCCTCCCCTCTCCCAGCCTTCTAGTCAGCCAGGATCACAGGCACGTGTGTGCACCTGGGGTCTAAACTCATCAGCCCTGTGGCTCCAGCAGAACAGTGAACAGCCTCTTGTGCCACCACAGCTGGGCCAGCTTTTTATATTATTAGTTTTTAATTATATATATATATATATACATACACAGATATCTATCTATCGATCTATCTAGATATATAGATATATTTAGAGAGAGATTTTTGCTATAGGGTGTGTGTGCTCACTAGAGAGAGAGACAGAAAGCAAGAAATCACTCTCCAAGGGGGATGGCCATACTGTCGTCCTTTCTCCAGCCTCCTCTCAAGGTTTTGGGCATGCCTGCACATGCCCCTGGCATGAGTTTTAACCTGCCAGGTCCGGGACTCACACTGTGGTGGATGATGTGGGAGTCCAGCAATGTAGCCATTATGCCATCTGCTGGTCCCCAGTTTTTAATATTTTTAACAAGGCTTGGGGTAGGCTGAACTGTTCTGTCCAAGGGCTGTGCTGCCTGCTTCAGGACCAGACCAGCAAGATGGGAAATGTCCCTAGGGTGGGCCTGCCCCTCTATAAGGGCACTTGGGTGGAAGAAAGTCAGGGGCCAGGAGACTGAAAGTGGCCATGCCTCCCTCAGCTAATGTCATCATTGCTTCTGTGACCAGGGAGACACTTCGGGGGATTACCGGAAGATTCTGCTGAAGATCTGTGGCGGCAACGACTGAGCAGGAACTGTGGCTCTTCTGCCCACATGCTGGCAGTGTGGTGCCAGGAAAAGGCCAAAAGAATGTCTGTCTGTTTCTAACAAACCTACAAAAGCCCTTGAGGTGACCACCCGTAGAGCCTTAGCCCTGTCTCCCCGGCCCTCCTGATGGATATGTTGTGCTGAAAGACCTGAGTTGGTCTTGAGCTCTCAGGATGCCTTTTCCTCCCCTTCCCTCAGAGCCTCTTGCTGCTAAAGTAGATATTTTATACTCTGACCCTTGCGGTCATTGCCCTGTGCTCGTGGCTAAAGCTCTTGGCTTTGTTTTAGTCGTGTGATTTTATATTTTTATGTGGAGGCAATTTTCTTCTTTAGTCATTGCCAGACAAACACACACAGCTCTGCCTGCTACGTGTACACTTCTGGGGAGAGTGACTGGGTAGGGAGTACCACATCCCTATCGAGGAGAAAGGGAGGATCTTTAAGGGTAATCTTTGCATCTGGTGAGAATGTGTCATGCGTTTTGTTATTGCCAAATCCACTCCTTTTTAGAAAGAGAGAAAAAAAAAACATCCAGAATGTCATCTGTTCCATCTTCCATGCAAAACCACGAGAACAAAGCCAGTTCCTTGCCAATGACAGGGTTTCTTGTAATTTGGAATGTGCCTTAAATCTGAATGTCTGTAGCCAAAAGCTGTTTGCAAATTAAAGTCAGCTAGCTCTGGAACATTCTGGAAATGTCTTCTTGGTGCCAGCTTGTTTTCTTCTGCTTCATGATTCTGCCCTGTGGCTCAAGGGTTCCAGCCCTATTAGCAGTGAAAATTCACATAAATAATTTTGTGCTCAGGAAACCCAGAGCGCAATCTGATGTACATGAACAGGGTTGTAAGAATAAGAGAAGGAGGCCCCTTGGATCCATGCTGGAGGCCTAGACACTGAGAAGATGCAGGGATCTTGGTTCGATGCAGGTGCAGTGAAGTTTCCTGAGGGTGAGGTGGGAAGAATGTAGTGCTTGACCCAGGACCCAAAGAAGGGCACAGGTAGGAGGTCATATGCATAATTCTTGGGGTGGGCCTCAGGGAGAAGGGCCTAGAGAGGAGGATGGGATGACCCAGAGAGGTACAAGACCATTGCCTCCCCTCAGGGAGTCCCCAGTGTGAAAGGGGCTCCTGGCTCTGGTCCTTGTAGACCCTCTGCACCTTATTGCTAGGAAAGAGAGAGGCCAGAATGGAGAGAATTTCTAGGGCTCATTGTGTAATGTCCAGAAGCTCAGAGCTTACCTTGCTGGTTAGAGGTCTCCGTTTACCCCTTTCTGAGTCTTTTTTTTTTTTTTTTTCTTTTTTTGCTATAGGGCACATGTGCTCATCAGAGAGACAGAGAGAGATAAAAAGCAAGAAATCATCTCCCAGGGGTATGGCCACGCCACAGTCCCCTCTCCTCCATTCTCCTCTTGGGATCTTGGGCATGCACGCACAGACACACAGCGTGAGTTTTAAGCCACCAGGTCCGGGACTCAGTGATCAGACTGTGGGAGTTCAGTGGTGTAACCATTACACCATCTGCTGGTCCCCCTTTCTGACTTTAAAGAGGAGACTCAGGTCTATTAAGCCTGCTGGGCCTGGCATGGGCCTCCAGGAGTGACTTGTTTGCAGAGTGTTCATCTGTTTGGGAATATTGCCTGACTCCTCACAGACCCCTAAACATAGCAAGAGCAGAGATAACCATACTGAAGGGGCATGAAGCCTGACTCCTCACAGACCCCTAAACATAGCAAGAGCGGAGATAACCATACTGAAGGGGCATGAAGCAGCCTTGAGCTGGGCACTACCTAGACCTGCCTTCCTAAGCCAAAGGCTGATGCAGCACTGGGATCGATGGCAGCCCCTGGCCACCATTTTAGCTGTGCCTTGATTTCCATGCCTGAAGCCTCTTTAGCTAGAGCCATCCTGCCAAAGCTGAGCTCCACCACTGGTAGTCTCCCAAGAACACTTTTCCTGGGGCAGGTCCCTTGCCCTTGGATGCCAGATGGGATGTACTAGATGATATGGAATTCTTGGCATTGTATACCTTTGCACAAATCCAGACTGATCCTGGTGGCTCCTGTGCTATGATAGGGTATACAGCCAACATGCGGGCCAGGCAATGGTTCAGTGTGTTAAGGTGGCTGGATCCTACATAGCCGACTGTGAGGTTTGAGTCCTAGACCTGGTAGGGCATGTGTGCATATGTACCCAAAATCCTAAAAGAAATGGAAGAGGGATTGTGGCATGACCATTCCCCACTGGGAAGGAGTATACTTTTTCACTTTCCCTCTCTATCTTTAGCATGTGCATACACCCTCTAGCAAATTTTTTCAAAAACAAAACAAGAAGAAGAAAAAAAAAAAAAGTACATGCTCTGATGTGACCGTGAGTGTTCTGTGACGTCACTTTGTTCTGTTCTATATAGGGAAGGTCTCAGCCTGGTGTCCACCAGGCACCCTCAGTAAACCTATAGATGCATTTACTTTGGTCCCTGAAGAGTCTTTTGATAAATTTGGACTTGTTTCCAACATTTAAACATTGAGAGATTCCATAAATCTGGAATTCTGGATTCTCTTCAGAAATCAGAAACTCTGGCAATACTGGGGCTGAATTCCTGCATGACTGGAACTGAGCCATAGCTGCTCCCTTTAGGCACATTGTATTTGCCACAGGCTCCACCAGTCCCAATCACATTATACCAAGCCCATGGAATCCATTTGGCCCCTGAGGAACTTGAGTTTGAGACTTCTGCCCTACACACTTGGGAACCACCTGGTTTCACCTGCCTTCCTGTCCTTCTGGCTGCTCTCTTGATCATGCCCAAGGGATCCAGCTCATGGCAAGTTTGGGCTGGAGAACTGTGAACTCAACTGAGATCTCCTTGAGGGACCTACTGTGGCCCAAGGTCAGTGAAAGGCTAGGATCAGCATTTGATTTTGCTCAAGACAAAAAAAGATGAAGACATGCAGCCTTACTGGTCATCTTTTCAAGAACAACATTGGGTCTTTTCTGGCCTGCTAGAGATGTTAGTTGAGGTCAGTCCATACTATACATCTAATCTCACCTCTTAAGCTTACAGCTAGAGGATGAAACAGATAAATTCAGCCCTGAGTGAATTTCAGCAGTGGTAGGGGATTGAAAGGGACAATGTCGTGTTAGGGGCAGGGATAGGACTAGGGAGGCAAGTGAGATTTATCTTAGGTGCAGAATTGAAGAATGGAATCTTAGAGCCCTTATCTTGTGACTAGATAGTCCTGCAGTGGTGATTCTTTTTTTTTTTATAGTTTATTTTTTATTATAATTTTTTTTTCCCTTCACAACACACAAATGAATTTTCCATCCAAAATACACTGTGCATTGGCTCAATCAAGCACGTCAACATATATGTTTTCAGCAAATGATTTCCCAATTCTTGTGTCCTGCATACCTTGCCTTTTGTTTTGCCATCCTAGATTCGCCATCCCCCTCCCTCTGTTATGACCCATCCTCCTCCCACATTGTCCCTGGCATCCACGGTTGCCCTCCGTGCCTCCCCCCTCCCCAAATGATCTGTCAGTGAACTTAATTAGTCTAAATATATCCAATAGTTATCGCAGCTGACACATACCTATACATGAACTCAAGTCTGACTTTAGGCCTAAACCCCAGTGAGTAGAAAGAGCATAGTATAAAGTAGAACCCAGGTGGGCCCATACAGCTCACTGCAGTCATCAAAACATTCATTCCCTGAGCATCATCACAACGTACTAAATGTAATTTCCCATCTAGAATAGACTGCATAGTGACTTAATCAAGCATGTTATCATCAATAATATTCCATTTCTACTTACTTGCTTATGTGTATATATATGGTTTTTTTTCTCTTCCTCTTTTTTTTTCCCCTATGTTTGTCCCTCTGCCCTTTCCCACTCTCCCATTACACTATCTCTGCTATATACAGTTGTCTTCCAATAGAGTTATTGAAAAAGTGATACATACAAGTAAAGGGAGAGAGGCCACGAGTTCCAATTATCAGCTCATAAAGTTTTTGACAATAGGGAGCATAGATTCTATTCAGGGTTGGATTAAGGGAGGGTCTCCTGCAGATCCACAAGTGTAAGTGAGTCTCCAGGGAATGCAGTTTCAGGAAAGCAGTTCTGGTACGCAGGGATGATTATCAGCTGATGCGGCACAGCAGTCATCTTGTAGTTACCAGGAATGGTGTTGTGGGGATCTGCAGTGTGAGTTGTCCTTGGGTATCTGGCTTCCTTAAGAATGGCAGAGTAGTTCTTGTTTTCCCCTGAGGTAATGCAGGGCTGGTAACTATCATCTTCTCAAGTTGCAAGTTCTTCAACCTTGTTTTCGGCCTCCGGGCCATCCCGGGCCAGAGAGGCAGGGAGTTGACAATAGGGAGCATAGATTCTATCCAGGGTTGGATTAAGGGAGGGTCTCCTGCAGATCCACAAGTGTAGGTGAGTCTCCAGGGAATGCAGTTTCAGGAAAGCAGTTCTGGTACGCAGGGATGATTTTCAGCTGATGCGGCACAGCAGTCATCTTGTAGTTACCAGGATTGGTGTTGTGGGGATCTGCAGTGTGAGTTATCCTTGGGTATCTGGCTTCCTTAAGAATGGCAGAGTAGTTCTTGTTTTCCCCTGAGGTAATGCAGGGCTGGTAACCATCATCTTCTCAAGTTGCAAGTTCTTCATCCTTGTTTTCGGCCTCCGGGCCATCCAGCGCTGGAGAGGCCAGGGAGGCCGGCCCCCGGAGCTCCCCCAGTGGTGATTCTTAAATTCTAGCATGCATCAGGGTGCCTTTGAAAGGGTAGGTTCCTAGGCCCCACAGTTGTGAGCAGGTGTGGGGGCCAGGAAACCGCATCTGTAACCTGCTATAATCTGCTGCTGCTCATCTAAATACTGCTGTGCTGAGGCAGAGAACTCCCGAGACCAGACGTGTTCATACAGAGGACCGTGGGCAGGTAGCAGGGTGTATTCAGATGATGAGAGATAAGATGAGGCATTCCCAACTTCAGGAAGAAAGATCTGAAAGATGAACTGTTGCAGGTGCCCATGGTCAAAGCAATGACTGAATGTCATTCTGCGTCCATCCTTTGTTGGCTGTTCAGGCAGTTTCAGTTTGAGTTGGCCCCCTTTTCTGCTATCACCTTTTTCCTTCCCTGGCTAATAAGGGTGCATTGACACCTGGAGACAGAAATCAAGCTAAATACATGCCTAGGCAGATGAAGTCTTAGATTTTCACCTACCATCACATCTAAAAGCTCCTGGGCCAGCCCCATGGCCTAGGAGTTAAGGGAGCCAGATCCCACATGGCCAACCACATCCGAACATCAGCCCTAGTGGATTGAAAATCATGCCAGGTATGTATATGTGCATTTGTGCCCAGAAATGCACATATGCACATGGGATGGATGGGATGGAGAAATGGAGGAAAAGGGATTGCAGCATGACCATGCCCCACTGGAGGGTACTTTCTTCCTCTCCTCTTCTCTGTGACTTTCGGGTGAGTATATGTACTCTCTGGCAACTAAAAAAAAAAAAAAAATAAATCTGAAAGTTCTCTCTGCCTGAGTTCCTCTAAGGGACAGGGTTATCATAATCCACCTGACCCCCTGCAGGGTCCTATCTCAGTAAAGGAGTCAGTCAACACCCTCAGCTCTACCAGTCACCCTTATCCCAATCCCCTGCTCTTTGGCAAGTTGCTCCTTGGCCT